GTCTGGAACCAGCTTCCAAGTGAGGTGGTGCAGGCTCCCACCCTGGGGGTTTTTAAGAGGAGGTTGGATGACCACCTTACTGGGGTCATTTGACCCCAGTGCTCTTCCTGCCATGGCAGGGGGTCGGACTAGATGATCTGCTCAGGTCCCTTCTGACCCTAGAAACTATGAAACTCAAGCCCTTTGGCTGTAACGTAAACCTAAGCCATCTGGCCATAACCACCTTCGAGTCTGTCACTGGGTTTCTCCATCTGTCCCCCGAACAACTGTCCGTGCATGCTAGCCTCTTCCTTTTTCTCACTCGGGCAGAGTTCCTACCCCTACAGCTGCTGGCAGGCAACTGCCTGCCCGGCCTCAGCCTGGAAGTTATATAGGAGTCAGGCCCTGCCCCTTCTGGTCAGCTGACTCCCACCGGTCTCCCTGGCAACCCACAGCTGGGCTCCTCACTTGCTGCTCTACTTCCCCCAGTTATCAAAAGGCAGCTGGTTATAAAATGTATAATAAAAAGTGATGGGGAAAATTGATTGTTTTGAGTGATCTTGTTTACTTCGTTCAGAGCCCAAACCTGTTCTTAGAAGCCTCTAAAGAGGTGTTGTTTCCTATTGCCTAAATGAGCATAAGCCTTGTTTTCAGACTGCAGTAATGGTTTTGTGGTGTTTTCTCCTCTAATAATTGCCCTTTTGAGCTGCTACTCAGCCAGATCTTAAGTCTGCTGCCCTGGTAGAAGCTGAAGAGGTGGGGACAGAATGGCCTGTGTTCCAGCTAATGTCCCTACGCTTTGTAAGCTGTGATACTTGAACTGAAAAATATAGTCAGGCCTGCCACTTGAAATATCAATACCCAGCGAGAGAAATAGTAACGCTCCTGAATGAGTCCCCTTTGGGTGCTTCAGGTTTTAGAGAGTGCATGTAAATATGGGAAGGTTCTTGTCCAGAAAGCAGGAACAGGTGATGAGCTACTTAAAGGCTGCTTTTACACACTATATGTAATAGGCCAGAAAGACTGTGCTAGTATGAATAGCAGGATGGCAAAGAAGCATGTGGCTCTGTTTTCTTGTTGCAGGTACTTGCGGGAATGAATGTTTACTCTGCTGAATTTGAAAGGATAAAGGAAGAATACGGTGTCCGGGGATACCCTACCATCTGCTATTTTGAGTCAGTCTTGCTTATTTCTTCTTTAGAAATCATACACTAAATTGTAATTTCTTGTTCCTCCTTATCATCCAGGGCAGGGGCTAAAACTTGTTTTGTTGCATTAATAGGAAAGGAAAGTTCCTCTTCCACTATGAGAATTATGGTGCTACAGCAAAGGATATAGCAGAGTGGCTGAAAAGGTAAGGTATTGTACTTTCTGAACTGTACCTTTTATGTATATACTTGCTGTGAACAGCAGATCAGTCTAGGGACGGCATCTCTTCCTTCTCTGCCCCCACCCTGCCTCCCCAGAACAAATAAACCTTGACTAACCTGTTACAGCTAAACTTTGCTCTAATGGTTGTTTTCATCATGCCTGCCTGCCTTAACATTTGTATTATGTGCCTAATATAAGAGCATCTCTGACCAGTATGTTGTGAACAGAAGGATCTGCTGTTCTTTGGGCCCCAACTCCATTAAAATGTGGACCTAAATTCTTAGGTGTCTGTTTGTGGGTAATCAACAGGAAATGCTTTGAAACACAAGACAGTATAATGTGTTTCAGCACTTGAAATCAGCAGGAGCTGTTAAAGTGTGTTGATTTACCATATTTACTCAGTCCAAGATGAGGGTTCCCCCCCCCCCCCC